TCATCATATTAATGGAAAATAGATTAATTATCTAATTACAACCCCGTCTTAATGATGAACATAATGACCGCCTTTGTCATCAGCTAATATGATTATCCTTATTCTGTCCGTTTAGTTAAGCTAATGATATTGAGGACATTACGGATAATGCAACATTAGTATAATCGAGTATTTTTGGCATAATACTCGTTACTTGTGAGCTTGTTGCGTAACATAAATTGCTGTATTTTTAGGCTGAATACTTGGAATTTTCTAAAAAATATGATATCTGTGTAGGACATAAAGTAATGCAAATTTAACTTAGCTGATAACTTGACACATCTGCGTTAGCTGTTTGCAATTCTTATGTATTAAATCTCTCGGCCTACACCCTCTGTCTTCTTTGCCGATGAGTAGGGATACCTACAAATTAAAATTTAATGACGTGGAATAAGTGATACCTGTTTCTAATGTTTCTTAATAAACATACTTTTTTTTTAATTATTGTAAAACAATATCAAAACTAATCCAAATTTTAATATTGAGTTCTGTCAATTATTAAGTTCTCTATGGTATTGTATAGTTAATAAGTACCTACTTGACGTATGACGTATGGTGACGTAATTCCCTGCATTACACAGTTGTCCTACAACTAAACAACTACTTCTTGACCTCAGCCACTAATTCTTTCGGGTTAGCCTGTCAGTGGTTACACGTCCAGGATCCTCCTTTTGGATCCAAAGACGTATATTATATTACATCCCTTCTCCACGTGATGTTTATTTGATAACTGTTTACCATTTGTCAGTTTTTTTCATTAACATTTAATATACTACAACTTTAGCGCACCAATACATCGATCCTGATCCAAGCAGGTGTACTGATCAAGTGATAGATTCATCGTCCTCAAAACTGTACACTGTCATTAGTGAGGCGCTGGACAGAAACCGGTGGAAACAGATTTTCCGCTCCAAATGTTACCTTGCTGACCACGACGCTTAGTAACCGACTGAAGAGAGAGAGAGATATGCTATAACTTTATTTTAAATAACAATATATCTACATAAATTCATTGTTATCAATTCATTGTTGGTCTTAAACCACCAATTAGAAGAGTTTATATAGGTATATATATATATATATACTTAACTAATATATAATATTATATGTATAATATATATATATATAATTTAAATTAAATGGTCAAAGAATATTTAGGGAAACAGCAAAAATACTCACAACAAACAAAATTAAAATACGAACTATTAAAAAGCCGGCAACGCACTCTGGCAATGAGAGTGTCCATGGGCACATATCACTTAATATCAGGCCAGCTGCCCGTTTTCCCCCTTATATATACAAAAAACGCCTAATAATATTTATCTTTAAATATAGCTAAATATAATAGAAAAATCTATAAGAGTAATGGGGCAGAAATCCACTAACTAAGCCTTATTTCATAATTAAATCTTCACAGATTACTTACAACAGTAAATACGACGACAATCGTACCTAATGAGTTACGAGTTTTAGGTATGCGATCTTTTATTTTAGAGCGTTTTAAATAAATCCACACGTTTTATATATTATATATATGGCGTTGCACATAGAAAAAAAAACACTACTTTTGGCATGTGACACCATGACGCCGAATACACTTGAAAAATACGTGATACTTACAACCGCTTTAAACACGGAACTTATATTATCTATTCATAGAACTAATATACGTATATCCTAATAGATACCAGAAATCATATATGAAACTTTTCACCACAAACCCCTAAGATACACCTCGAGTACGCCAGTAAGCTCATAATTTATTTGCGTTAGTTTGCATTTTTATATTTTATATTGTTCTATGTATATACATAAAGACAATAAACGCAAAACAACTTAAATTAACCCAGCAAGCAATGTTAAATTAACAAATAACATACAGCAACAACAGCACACATTTTGTGTATTTTTAATAAAATATCGCTAAAAGGTAATGGAAAATATTTAAAAATTGTGAGGAGGTGAGTGTAATCAACATAAAATAAGGAGTAGAAAATACTGCATGGGCCTGCTTTAACCACTGTTGCTTGTTGTTGTTGTTGTGTTTGACTATTTGTGCCTGAAAAGTATGTCATATCCCGTAGGCTGCTGTCTGAGTGGCGCTCACGAACAGTAACCAATTCCGAATATGATTTCGCAACTTAACCGTTTCCTTAGTATTGCACCAGAACTGGATATATTTATGATAGGTTTGAATTACTGGGAGAGCTATATGGTGATTATTTTATTGAGTAGACATTAAAACTATATTTTAGGTATGTATATAACTTACGTTAATGTATAATGTTATTTTTGGCATCTTTGTTGTAAATAAATAATTGTGCTATCTTTATTTAACTTCGTACTAGGTATTCGTATATCTTACTACATAATTTTAATCTGTATAAGTAATCATAACGATCAAATATACAGAATTTACAAAAATAATAAAAAGAAAATTAAAACAAATTAAAAAAGGTTGGTCCCTGTGGCAGTATACCTTTAACGCCGGTAGCATGACTTTGTTGTATTAATTTATCTGTACACTTTAACTCCAAGGCCCAAGAGTCTCTACTGCAAAGGGAACAAATAAAATAGTAATACTTAATTTTGAATAATCTAAGAATCTAGATAAAACGAAACAGCCAGTTTTATGGCAAACGTGAGGTGACGTTGTGGAGTGTTGGACACTCCCTTCTCATAGTGATCCGTGAATTACAAACCGATATATATGTAAGAATTAGCACCTATTTATCAGGATAAGACCAACTGCTTTATTTATTCTGTGATGCGAGACGGTTCGTTCATTAGCTATCTTAATCACTTACGCCACGTTACACTTCCCATAAACGTTTGGGGCAAGGGACTTATTACAGAAATTGTCATTAGATACAAGAATAGCGTAATAAGACATATATGAAAAGGGCAGCCGACAAATTAATAGTGTTTCAATAGAGTGATGAGAAGTGAACGAATGTTTCTTATCCGGGAATCAAACTCATATAGGTACTCTGCATTCAATAAAATACTAAATCGTGAATATTGTAGAAATAAAACTAATAAAAGAAAATGTAAATTTATGCAAAAATTAATCAAGCAGTCCGCAGTCATATGGAAATATGAATTAATAATTGAATGGCGAACGTTTAAATTTAAACAAATTATATTAACAATACTACACTTCCAAAATAGAAAAGAAAAAAGAAATAGTAAATACAAATTTTAGATAGCTAAAATGTCCCTTTAGGCAAGGTTCCGAAGATACTGGAAAAATCCATACTGGCTTCCAAAAAGGTGGGTGTTTTGGGTAAAGCTATGCTTAGCCTGATCACCGAGGTAGGTATACAACTCTGCAAGGCACAAGTACGACCCCATATGTACTCTCACATCTCTGGGCCGGTACCCCTTAATTATACCAGTTTCTTTATTATCATCAAATTCAGCGAAAGGCTGCTTACGCGAAGCCATTGAAATCAAAAAACACCCCAATTTCAATAGAGAAGACGGCCTAAAATTGTCAAACACCTGGGATCCAATAATATCCAAATTAAAATCTCAAAAAGAACAATCCGCGAAAATAGAGGACACCGTAAGCCATTTTTGCCAAAACCCTCCATCTTTTAGTCGATACCAACTCCGGGGAAATAAATACAGATAATGCAACTTTCTCTGCAGCTGTGATACTTTTTGACATTCAACATCTTTTGTCTTCAGTCACCGTGACCACGCACGCTGTAAAGCACGCGAAACGTCGGATAAATTTAAAATTATGTTAAATAGTTGTAAATTTATAATAATACATAACTTCAATCCGGTCAAAATAGTGTTTTATTAAATGAATAAAAGTTATGTTAATCAAAGACAATACAATATAGAATCAGATGATCAGATCCTATCCATTGCTTGACTTGATTCGTAACGTTATTATTGTTATTAACTGACTTGACTGACTGAAAAAAAAACTAATGAGGAGGTTGTGAACTCGACTTGTAATCTTAATATATATAATATACGTGTCACGTTGTTTGTCCGCTATGGACTCCTTAACTACCGAACCGATTTCAATAAAATTTGCACACCGTGTGTATTTTGATCCAACTTAAAAGATAGGATAGCTTAGATCTCAATTTATACCCGCAATATTATTTTATTGCAAAATATTTGTTTATTATTTGATAGTCGCAATTCTAACAGATGGCGCTGTGTTGAAAGTACCAACGTTTCACATAAGCTACAATTTAATGGCATAACCACCAAAAAAGCATGTTAGTCCCCATGACTGGTGTTCTCCTACCGCTTCCCTTGAATAGTTTACTACTATGTAATATAACAAAAACCTTAGCCACAGCAACGCTTGGCTAAATTATTTTTCCTTTAGTTTTTATATATATTCAAGCATTGATCCTCCATCTTTGTACCGATAGGGTATTACGTACGTATTAATTAATTCGTATTTATATTTAATATAATATTTATATACTTAATGATAGCTTAGTTGTCCATATTGAATTAAAAAAAATATCATTATCGTCACGGAATGGTGATATTATCTCACAGCAGAAAAACTGAAGGACACGACGTCCACATTACATCATAATTATGACTTTTTTGTGTAAATTAAAAAAAAATTTATCGGAGCCCTTGCTTCATCTCCAGTTGAGTCCAACTGAGTTTCACCTAATTAGCAAATTTTTTCAAACTTCGAACGTAGAATTATTCTTACGACGGGAACAAACTAGGCATCTCTAGTTTAAAGGACTATACTACCCGCTATAAACTACTGAGCTGGGAGGTATGACATGAATGTTTAGGATTTTTTTTTAGTATGCCGAAAATTCAGAAGTTAACTTAGATTATCAAATTATATATAAATTTCGTACTATACTGTGATAAAGATCGAAGTCCATACGTATGTACCTATTGCTAGTTAATAAATAATTTGTTTGCCGGAAGAATAATACAGTTCGCGATTGTTGTTCACAATGTTGAGACAAGTTGGGTTTGTGTTTTTAATATTTGTTATAACAAATGTATATTCAGCTAAAATATTAGCAGTATTCCCTACTCCATCTGTGAGTCACCAAGTAGTGTTTCGACCGCTAGCTCTAGAACTGGCCAGACGTGGTCACCATATAACAATCATAACAACAGATCCATTCACGCAAGCAAAAAACCCAAATATCACAGAAATTGACGTCCATGATATATCATACGAACTATGGAAAAAGTACGTCGTTTTGGATTTGGAATTTGGGAGAAAAGACAATATTTATCCACAGGTCGAAGTGGTACCGAAAGTAATGATGCATATTATTTGTTCGCAACTTGAACAAGATTCAGTTCAAAAACTGATTAACACTAAAGAACCCTTTGATCTTTTAATATTAGAAGGTTGGTTGAGGCAAAATTTGATATATTCTCATATTTTTAAAGCCCCCGTGATTTTGATGAGTTCCTTTGGAGCGATGTTTGCAAGAGATGAAGTCAACGTGGGAGCACCTACACATCCTTTTCTCTACCCAATGTTAATACAACAGAGACTTTACAATATGAGTTTTTGGGAGAAAATTCAAGAATTATACAAACGACAGTGGTTTGATACATTTTGGTATTCTAGTGACGCTAAGGAAGTTGCAATCTTCAGAGAGAAGATAGATAAAGATTTGCCAGATTATGAAGAGTTAAGCAAAAATATTAACATGTTGTTTATAAATACCCATCCTATGTGGATCAATAATCAACCTCTGCCCCCAAACGTAGTAACGCTTTGGGGAATACACAAACACCCGCAGAAACCATTGCCGAATGTAAGTAGTTAAGTTTTCACTAATTTATTGAAGTCGTATATTTCCAAAAATATTTGTACAAATTTATCTCACAGACCGAAGGAAGTAAAACTGCTAAGGCCCAGACCTTTTATGAATGAATCATAGATGTCATCGAAGACGCTAGGATATAGCAACACAAATCAACAACTAATTATTCATTCTCCTTTCGATAAAAGCGTCATAATACGAATTTGTTTCCATTTTTTAATCGTTTGATTTTTTTATGGAAGTTTGTGTAATAAGTTGTTATTACTTCAAAAAATATATCTGTGCCCGGCGTATTTAGACCAGGGTCGATAATTTTTGAAACCTAAAAAATTAATAGTAGGATGAAACCCATTGGAAAAGGAGGAGAACGTTATAAAAATTAAAGGAAAAATAATTTACGGGCGATCTGAGGTCGGTAAGGGTAGGGGGGAGTTTTAAGGGTAAAAAACGGTTTATCTCGATTTCCGGCAAAACTAAAAGTCCTATGGAAAAAACTCAAATGGCAAAGTTGTTTAAATTTTAAATAAAAGTAATATTTATGATAATCAAAAAATTAAAAAAAAAAATTCTATACTTTGTTATACATATATGGTTGTTTTTGTTAATTTTAGAAGTTTCAGAAAAAAAATAAAAAAAAGTTGAAAATTTGTTTATAACAAATTGGTAAGTTAATAAACAATAGAATTGTTGATAAAAACAATTTTTTTTGTAACTTTATAGAGGACGGTCAATTATGATTTTTAGAAAAAAAAATTTCTTAAGTAATTATTTAAACAATAGAAAAATAAAAAAACTATTATAAAGAATTAAAAATTGTTATTAAGGAAAATTTGTAATGTAATAAAGTTGTGATTTTTTTTTTTTTTAAATTGATTTAATCAATTTGTTTAAAAAAAATTATCAACAAATGGCGGGAAAATTATTTTTTGCAAATCAATAAATACCTTGTATTCATAAAAAAACGATAATATGATGATTTAGAAAAAAATTTTTTTTTAACAAGTTTACTTCGATTTTTAAGTTTTTGTTTAAGTAAAAAATTGTTATAAACAAAGTATAAATATATATAAATGTATAAATATATTTTTTTTTACTTTTATGGCACGATTTTGTTAAGTATGTACAACCCGTGCGCGATAAGTTGGGACCTGAGCGCGGTGACGTCACAGTGGCGTGTTTGTACCGTCCGCAAAAAAGCGAACACATCGAGCAGCCGCCGCGGCTTCGTCCTTGTTTTTTTTTAACCTAATTTACTATGTTACTCAGGCATGATGCTGCTTTTTATCTTATCTTTATTTTTTTTACACTATTTGAATACAATAGAATACTATTTAATTATGTATCACAGAAAGTGAAGGAAGGTAACGTTTTGTAATGAATAAAAATACAATGTTTAAGTTTATACATTTATTTTAATTTAAAAAAAAAATTGAACACCTGACACAAAGCAAGCAAACACGTGTTTCCATGAGTCATAAATTTATTATTGTATACTCCTAAAATGTTTTCTAAGAAACAATAGTGTACTCACATTTTCGGCAAGTTCTTAAAGTCGGTAACTTATTTTTGTTCGAACAATAGAGATAATAAATTCCAAATGATCAAGTTGTAAAGGTTATAAAATAAAACGTTCCTATGTTCGAGATACAGAGGTCAAATAATTTAACGAGGTTCTACTGTACAATATCTAATCTAAAGTCATCATTTTCCTTTAGACGTCGTAGGTACCTTGCCCGCCAAGCTCGAATATCTGGTTTTTGAGTAAGAAAATGTCTTTTATCTTTACATTTTTTGAATTTGTAGCCTAATTTGTCTACTAACACTTTTCTTAAATATGTTTTTTGCCCTTGAAAATTGAGGTCTCTTTTAGCCACAGATAATATTTTATTTAAAGTAGGTATTTCTTTCCTGACAGTGTAAAAGCTATTTACGATATTTCGCAAGGCACATAAATCAAAACTGTCCAATTGGATACGGTTACACTTTGGCTTCCGTTTTTTGCCCGGTGTTGACAATTTCACTTCACTTACTGGCGTAGAACTTGTAGAAGTACCTGGTGTCGGTGAAGTATTTTGTAAGCGCTTGGCTTCGTTTTTTATTCTCATCAACGTGGTTTTCGATATTCCCGTTGCCATGCATGTTCTTTTTACTACCTGGTCAATAGGTACACAAAACTGTTTGTTCCGTTTTTCGTTTTCAAAAAACTCTAACACTTTTTGCACGAGGTTTCTTTCTCCGCTATGTAAAGGTTTACCCTTCATAATGATAACAAAAAAAACTTAACAAGAACTATAACAACAAAAACTACAACAACAAAACAATAACACAAACGAAACTAAAAGGATTCCAGAGCGCGTCGTTACGTGACGTAAGCCAGAACGAGACTAAAAATTCTAGTAAAAAACTTGCGATGCGAACGGTACAATACGGGCGCCATCGGGGAAGTGCAGGGGAGCGGGCGGGAAGCCGCATTCCTAGGAGGTCCCAACTTATCGCGCACGTGTAATATGTAAGAAAAGCTCTACGAAGCGAAAAATTTTTACGACCATTATTTAAACAAATTTTTTCACTTACAATTAAGACGGTAGTTCGAGAAAATTTCGTTAGTTAACAATTGTTTAACTAGTTGAAAAATGAACTTTAAGTAAAATTTCCAACGGGAATAAATTAATTATAGTGTTAAGAACACACCATAATTTTTTCAAAATTAAAAAAAAATATTCAATACCTTAAATAAATTAATTAATGTGCCGTACTCGCTTTTGACGCCACGCGCGAATCCTAAAAATGTCACGCGCAGACCTATTTTCAGCGTTAAATTAAAATTATAAATAATGGAGATAGAGTTCCGGGAGTTTTTTATTGGAAAACGAAATGCCATTTCTTTTTCATCTTTAATTGTTTATAACTTTTGCAATTTATTATGTGCTAATACACGCTTTTGGCACATTTTTCTAGACGTAATTCCGGATCCAATGAGCTGTCGCACATAATTTTAAGAGCAGTATCTCTATTATGTACTATTTTCAACTTGTCGACTAGACTATAATACGCTGTAATTTATTTGATTTGAAATAATAATTTTTTCACCTTATTTTGAATCAATATCGAAAAAGCACCCTAATTTTCAATCGAAAATTCACCCGTCAAAATATCAGCTTTTTTCAAAAAGTTGGTGTGCTTTTAGTTCGTTGAATCTCTACTTTCCTATGGTAAACATTTACGACATTCGAGTTTAATTCGTTCCGTAACCTGTTCGCATGTCAAATCTCAAACGAATTTTCCCAATAGTAATTAATTGAAATACTTATAATCCGTTTCAGCACCCATAACGCCACCTCAGTTGCTTTTATTAAGTGTTTTTGAATAAGAAAATGATTTCACGATATAATTTAATAGACATCATCTTCTTAGGACTGGTTATAAAACAAATGTGATAATGTTTTGTAAATACTACAACTTATCAAAAATATTTAATTATTAATGAGGTGGGAGAAACCGTTAGTATAGTTAGTGATTCCTAGTACCTCAAATCTTGCCCTCATTTCAAATCAAAATATTGCTTACTCGGCTGCTCGTATCTCAAAACACTTGTATATCGAGGTACCAGTGTATTCGGAAAACAGTAAAAAACAGTAGTCTAAAAAGCGTTTACCCTCTTCACAATCACGATAACCGAATTAACTTTAAAAACATAGGTAAACTCTAATCTAACCAACTATGATTAGAAGATATCGCTAGTAAGGAATAAATATGCCCGTTGCCTTCATAATTTTTAATTATTGTACGGTATGGTTATTTTTTATTTATTTTATTCCATATCATTATTCTATCTTTACAGTAATTACTAATTCGATAGAACGACACAATATTTATACCCACACCAATTAACCTAGATAAAAAACATTAAAAAAATATATTTATATACCTAAATCTTATAACTAATAATATAGGAAGCAACTCTTGTGAACTCAGCCATTGTACAAACAAATAGGTCTACCTCAACAGAAATTCTATTTATTATATGTATTGCTCGCGTGAGTGGTGCTTTGCTAACCAAGTTGGAATGTGCGCGCGGTACATCCAAAAGTTGAGACTTCCGCCTCAGGTACTTAGTACTTACTTGGTACCCGTAGACTCAGTGTCTCCATTATATCCAGATTATGAACCCGACCCGTAAGTATATGCGTTGAAGGGTTCCACAGTGCACAGTAGGATTGTAACGACCACCGCTATAGTTATGAATTTTAGTAGTATAATATAATAATAGTAGTACTAGTAATTAAACCTATTGAAATTATATAAATTATTATTATATTTCAGGATCTTCAAATATACCTTGACTCATCTAAAAACGGAGTAATATATTTAAGTTTTGGTTCCAACGTACTCTCATCCATTTTATCTCCAGAGAAGATACAAATTTTTGTGCGCGCTTTTTCTCGGTTATCATACGACATTTTATGGAAATGGGAGACTGATGAACTGCCTGGAAAATCGGAGAATATAAAGATTTCCAAATGGTTACCGCAGTCGGATTTATTGAGTAAGTCATAGCATTTCTTTGGATATGAAATATATTGAGTGCATTGAAAGGCATTATAAATTATCTATATTTTCCAAAAACAATTAAGTATACAAAAAGTTTTATATTATATTTGAAAAAATATTACGATATTCACTGACTTTGCATCAGTTTTATTGACTTTTTAAAAGTATTAGTCTAATAATCCATTAGTCTTCTGAGCCTGACCACCCAAACAATTATTAATTTTAATGCCCCTTCCCTGTTATGTTATAATGTTAGACTCTTTAGACTTCTTGTATAAACTTGTTTAATTTCTTTATATGACCTCTTGCTAGTCTAGTACAAATAGAAGTGATGGCGCACGTCGCCCCACCATAGTGTTTTATTTTACCAATTATTATTTGAAAATGCGCCTGATATACAACTTGCGCAATGTCGCAACATAGTGAAGCTTTAAAAAAGCAAAAAATGTGCTTTATTCCAAAGAGATAATTCGCCGATAACGTAACTTTATTGGTAAAATAATTTATCCATTGCAAAAAAGAAACAACATCTCTTTCTCATCTTAGTGTAGATAAATTTGATTACTTATTTTTAAACCTGTGGAATTCAAAAGTCAAAAATTGAAAAACAATTACCTACTACACACAGGAAGGAAACAAATTTTTTACAATACATAATATGTTTATGTTTAAATGGTAACATACGTATACATAGGTATATTCCTTTTGATGAAGCACCATTAACAAGGTCACATTTTGAACCTGTATCACTCCAGGAATTTATTTTACAAAATCAGAATTAAGTATTTTTCATACTTTCGTATGTAACACACCTACACTTGAATTATATATACATAATATAAAGATAAGAATATTACCTATCAAATCTCTTGCTAATCCCAGACTCACTTTGCTATTTATGGTGATTTAATTAATAATTATCTAATTACAGGACACCCAAATATAAAACTCTTCATAACCCAAGGAGGTTTGCAGTCAACCGATGAGGCTATAACAGCTGAAGTACCTATGATAGCTGTTCCATTGCTCGGAGATCAGTGGTTTAATGCAGAGAAATATTTATATTATAAAATTGGAATGAAACTCGATTTGGAAACAATTACTGAAGACGAACTTGAAAACGCTATTAGGACTGTTATAAATGATACTAGGTATTTTTGTATATATATTAAAAAATATAGTCGTCTTATTAAATACGACTATGTAAGTCAGTCAATTTCTTTGGTAACATATATGCAGCTCAGTGAACTCCTTTGAATTGTGCATCAATTTAATGGTAAGAATCCAACTGTTTGGTGCTCATTTATTAATAGAATAGCTTTATAGACATTGCCACGATCCAGGAATCTTCTAATAGCATAATATTTTATGGACAGCTCTACAAAAATTCATTGGTCATTGAATAAACTCCTATAGTAAGCAACAGAAAATAAATTCTCAAAATAAACTTATCTTATTTCAGCTATAGGGATAACATCAGAAGATTTAATGATCTATTACACGATCAACCACAGAGTGGATTGGATCGAGCCGCTTGGTGGACAGAATATGTCATAAGACATGGTGGGGCGAAGCATCTTCGAGCAATTGCAGCTGATATGCCGTGGACGGAATATTATGAGATTTATTTTGTACTTAAGCTTACTTCACTTTTGCTTAGTATTATATTCGGCGTCTTAGTTGTAGTTTATCTGGTTTGGCGACGTTTATTTACGAAGGAAAAGCTTAAGTCTGCTTGAAAGTTTAACCATGTCATGGCAGCGGATGGAGTTACGGTGTCTCAGCTATTTGCTGATTATTTTGTCTATGATTATAGTGTGCTTATACCTGATATTTCCAACTAGCCAAAAATTGCTATGATGTGCTTACAACACCCATATGTACCTTGTTTAAAAAACTCTACTGGAACCTTTCCCGATTTTTTTTTAAATGCGGTGTTTACAAAATTAAGCTAGTATAAAATCCTAATCAGCACGAGTTTATGACTCACAAATAAACAACACCTACCTTGACGGCATACTCCGATTACTTGTCAGATCGATGATAGGGGCCGACGTTATTAATACTGATTATCAATAGGCGTTTGATAAAGTTCATCATCACCTTCTATTGAAAAAGATAAAAAAATATAATGGCATACATGGCAACTTGCTAAGCTCTTAAACAATCGCACCCAAACGCGGGAAAAACTTTGCAATTTCTGATGAATTCAGAAATTTTCCAAAAGCATTTCTGGATTTGGGATCAACGGAGCATAATGTGCGGGATTCTTTTAACATCATACAGTATTTTACTTGCTACTTGATCAAGTGAGGATCATCTTCTATTGAAGATCTTATTATTGTTGATCTTATTAGATCTACAAGGTGAAAGACAACCCTTTTTCCGGTTCAAAGATACTTTATTTCTCAAAGAAATCACACTCATCACTTAGTAAGAAATTAATTAGAGTAGGTTAGTACATCGTTTTTAAACTATTAAAATAATCTATACAAAATGGAAATATTACGAGTAAGAATATTTAATAATTTCATTAAAAAAATAATTTAATTTTGTGAATATTTTTTACAAAAGTGCAGGTAGGTCGCATCGATGTTACATCACGCATTGTGTGACTAATGAATAGTAATAATTTCTTAGACGCTCGTTCACAGATATAAATAATTGGTAAAAGTGATTTTTGTATGTTTTGTAAATAGGTACATATTTATTAATTTATATTGAACTTTTACGATTTTTATAGACATATGTGTGAATTTTTTTTTTTAAATACAAATTATGTTATACAGTTAATGGCTTTAATTATATTTTTATTTACCCAATCAGTTTTAGATGGATTTACAATTGTGATTTTTCGAATTTTGCTGTCGTTAATGTTTTTAAATATTAATACTATATACAATTAGAACTGGGAGTATTTAGTATTAACTATATAATACTATATAGATAAATAACATCGGAGTAGGTTTTCTAGAGAACGTTGAGTGTCACCGTAACGTCAAATAGCGGTTGTGTCATTTGCATGACGGTCGTCATAGTGGTGGTAAACATTAGTTCCACGTTTTTCGCGTGTAGCGGTGCCTATATTTAATTAATATAATGAGTGGAAACGTGACTTGGAACGCGAAAATGATAGTTTTTTTGCATTTAGTTAAAAAGTAATGACGGCCGTTATTAACAACCGTAAAATGACGGTCGTTAGTTAACGGCACCGATTTTCTAGGAACCTAAGCTTTATAATAATTAAAAAAGTTACTATACCTTTGATGTGATGATGTGTGATGTTTTAAAATAACACTTTACTTATTCAGGCTATCGGGATAACATCAAAAGGCTTAAAACTGGCATCTTCGAGTGTAGTGAGATATGTCCTGGAATGAATATTACGAAATGGATTTTGTACTTAAACTATCGTTATTTTCACTTAGGTTATTAGGTTTTATAAATGTAGTATATTTTTTTGGCGACAATTATTTACTTCTTCATTTATTATGAAGAAACTAGATATTGATGTAGATAATGTTTTATAGGAGATAAAACATTAGAAGGTTTATAAGTTTTCTCTATTTCGTAGACCTGTATTTTTAAATAATACAACATGTTTTTTTTAAGAATAAGACAACTGGGCACACAAAATTACAGCTAGACAAATACTTACATCAGCGACAGAACTATCGCAATGTTTTCTAATCGTCAAGGTACCACGGCCGTTACTTCTACAAAATTAATAAAACGTTTTACTTGAATATTTGTTTGATTTGTAAACTGATAAAGATGATTACTCTTGGCTGATTCGTCTGCGGTGGTTTGTCTTCTGTTAACACTGGCTTGCGCAGTCACAAGTGAACTCATAACACCCGACCTCCTCCTCCAGACCGAAACAGAGCGAACGGGCCGATATGTGTGTGATTAATAGCTGTGCCAAGGTCCATCCCACATCATTAAGTTCCGAGGGCCGTGGCTTAAATAAAATATTCGCGTGATCTGCTTGAATGATAGGACGCGAACACGGCGCACCGTAGCGTGTCTCATCTAACCCTCCACCACGAAGCAGTCGTGCAGTGAGAGGATATGCGTAATGCATTTCCTTAAGGTAACTCTCATAGCTCACGAGATACGAGATACGCTCATAGAGGCACGAGATGTTCAAACATTGCCAACTTGGAACTTACATATACGAGTAGTATATATTACAGTTGTAGTTGTAGTTGGCAAATATGACGTATGGAAATGATATACTTGCTGTGACTCGATAGAAGATATTACATATTAAATTTCATTTTAAATACAACTGTCGTAATGTTCAGTCCAGTCCTTGTTTTTTCTTTGTGTATATTAACTGTATGTGAATCGGCAAAAATATTAGCTATTTTCCCGACGCCATCTGTGAGCCACCAGGTTGTATTTCGGCCCCTTACACAGGAGCTAGCCAGGCGTGGCCATCAGGTTACGGTAGTGACGGCGGACCCAGTTTTTAAAAATGGAACACCTACAAATTTAACGGAAATAGATGTTCATGATATTTCGTATAAATTATGGAGAGACAACTTTGTGTATAAGGTAGAGTTTGGACAAAAAAAGACTCTATTTCCTCAGATTGAGGCAGCTGTGAATATAATACGTAAACTAACTGTGATTCACTTGAAACATGAAAAAATTCAAGAATTGATAAAGGATCCTTCGCAATTTGATATTCTTTTGGTAGAAGCGTGGACGAGGCAGACTTTAGTATACTCCTATATATTTAAGGTGCCAGTGATTTTAATAAGCTCCTTTGGAATGACGATGGGAAATGATGAGACTCTTGGAACTCAATCGCATCCGATTTTATATCCTTTAGTACTTCAGCAGAGATTATATAATCTAACGTTTTGGGAGAAACTAGACGAATTCTACAAACATTGGAGGTTTAAAATGATATGGTTCAAGAAAGAAAATGAAGAAATGAACAGTTTTCGAGAAATTTTGGGTCCGTATTTACCAAAATATTGTGAACTGAATAATAATGTTCATATGTTATTTCTGAATATTCACACTTTGTGGATTGAAAATCAACCTTTGCCACCAAATGTTATATCTATTTGGGGTATTCACAAAAAGCCTGAGAAACCATTGCCAAAAGTAAGTTTTTTTTATATGGTTCAATTACGCCTCACTTTTAATAGAAAAGGATATCTTCCGTCGCTGGATAGCGAAGTACGACTAATTTAAATTTAAAAAAATCCAATTAATTTTTTAAATCTAAAAAATATTTTTTTTAATATTTCCTAGAATTCAGGACTTCAATATTTTTGATACAAAAGTGATATCATTAAAAAAAAAGAATTGCGTAAAGGAAATGCCTAAAGAAAATAGTATTGAATTAAACATTTGCAACACTTATTCCATGATAAAACATGCCCATTTAGAGATAGGGTCATTGCACTCAATTAATTTTACTTTTCAATTTTAATAAATATTCATATAGAAATGTTTAAGGATCTTGAGACATATATGGACTCTTCGAAACACGGCGTGATTTATATTAGCTTTGGAAGTAATTCTCCTTCGATAGCTTTACCACAAGAATTTATACAAAAGTTAATCAGAGTGTTTTCCAAACTTCCCTATGATGTTCTGTGGAAGTGGGAAGCAGATGAAATGCCAGGAAAATCAACTAATATTAAAATATCTAAATGGCTTCCACAGTCAGACCTATTGAGTCAGTATATTTTCATGAAAGTCAGAGAGATCTCTTTTTCAATTGCAATTTTACAAGTTATTTTTTTATATTATATTCGAAGTTTTGTTTGCATGGTTTAGCAAGTGTTAACGATACAGAGTTTTTCGTAAATAAAATATTTTTTTAATATAGTTTAAATCTTTAAAATTAAAAGTAATATGACATATTTTGCATTTATTATTATACATTAGATTAGTTTGCATGTATTGTATAACATGTGTACATTGTATTAATCATTTACATTTTTAGGACATAAAAATGTTAAACTATTCATCACTCAAGGCGGTCTCCAATCAACAGATGAAGCAATAACTGCTGGAGTACCGCTCATAGGTATACCTATGCATAGTGATCAATGGTACAATGTTGAGAAATATGAGAAACATAGAATTGGTGTTCGACTTGATATGGAAACAATAACTGAAGGTGTTTTCAGTGCAGCAATTAAAACCGTAATAAATGATCCAAGGTAATTAATCTGAATATATTTACAATATTCTCTAGTTTTACAGAAGTATAAATAATAAGAATATACCTAAGAAGAATATAAATGTATGCCGGAAGTCCGGATTCAGTTAAAATATTTTGGTTTCTTTACCAGAAGTTTTAGACAGTTTTAACTGCAATCGATAAATGATATTTAAGCTTGAATAATTTATTTGCTGCCTTTTGGTGGAAGAAGCAATTATACATTTCTGGCCATATGCATACATCGCACACATGATCAACAGCTTTACTTGCTCATGTACCACGTTTTAAAATGGTTTTCTAATATTTGTAGTTGAAAAGTGGCCATAGCTGTAAATAAATATGTGGGTATATAAAAATTGTTCGCCCGACAGAAGTCATAACTGAAACTAATCTAAATTGAACTATTTAATGTTCCGAGGATCATCTTCTGCTTCATTCATAATTTTTTTATAATCACTTTCTTTTATGATCACTATCAAAATCGGTGATATTTTGAGGTTATATGCTCACTGTCAATAGTAAACGTCTAACGCACCCTAAACACTG